CTATGATCACTTCTGGTGCCAAATGTTTTTTTAGTTTGAGTTCCCTAGAAATGAACCAGAATGAGGGTGCTAGTTCAAGTCATTAATTGTGGAAGAGCTCTCAGGAGAAGCGGAGTTAGGAAGCAAGATAGGGTAGGGGGAAAAAGTTAAGTAAGAACTTGGTCTTGGCTGGAGACCAGCTTTAGACTGATTCCACAGGGATACTCTTGAGGACAAACTGTATCCCACTTAAATTCAGGGAACTTATCTTTTATCCCTGTGTCAGTCGATCAGTCAATCACTGGCAAGGAGTGGGTATTGGCGAACAGCCTCCTATGCAAGGGGGACTCCTATTTGGCTGAGGGAAATTCCCTGAAGAAAAGGGTAGTTGTAAGTTGTTATCAACCAACATTTATAACAGCTGGGAAATGGGTGCCCAGGTAGGTGAAGGGACTATGGGCACTATGGGCAGGGCATCAACAGTATGCAGTACAGTAACTGTCCTGAATGTTAGGGATGCGCCTCTGATCTCCAGTCTACCCTTGTCCCAATCCTATTGTCTAAGCTCACATGGTCTTTTGAGGGTGAGCTACACTGATGCTTTTATCTCAAGCTTGGGCTTGGGAGTCTTGGCAAGGTTGGTAGCTTCCACATTATGGCCATGTTCCCCAACACTGCAGTCATTCTTCATCAAGTTTCTCCCAAACTCTCGCAGAATATGGTTCCTTATACTCATGGTACCAAACAGACCTGCATCTTTGTCCCATCTCAAGGGAAACACAAAGCAAACCTCTCTTCTGAATGCTTCTTTTATAAATAAGAAAACTGAGGCTCAGGGAGGCTAAATGAATTTTGCAACAAGGCTGAAAAAGGTAGAGCCGGGACCACACTTAGGTGTCGACTTAGAGGCCTTCCACTATATCAGGGAGGCAAACTATGGTCCATGAGCCAAGCCCATCTTCCCCCTTCCCCTACCTGTTTTTTAAGCAAAGTTTTATTGGAACACAGCCACGCTCTCTTGTCTATGTATTGTCTATGGCTGCTTTCACACTATCATGGCAGTTGTTAGTTGTTAGTAGTTGTTACAGAGAGAGTATGACCTGCAAAGTCAAAAATATTTATTATCTGTAAATATTTTGGCTACATTATGCTGCTTCTGGGAACCTCCACAGACTTCTAATTCTAAGACTCAGTTATTCTAAGACTTTAGTTGGAGGAGGGATTCTCCCTCATACTTAGTGACACAGCACAAGGTAGGTCTTGAAAACCTACTTTCTTCTATACTAACAAGAAATTAGGGCAGCTCTAGTGCTACTTAGCTAAAGGAGATTTCAAAAAGTCCTGGGGAGAGCTGGATGTGGTGTCATGTGACTGTAGTATCAGCTACTTGGAAGGCTGAGGCAGGAGGATCACTTGAACCCAGGATTTTGTCTCAGAAAAAATAAAAATAAAAAAGCCTGGAAAGAAAGAGGGATGAATCAGCTTAAAAGATAGTCCTTAGGCTGGGCGCGGTGGCTCACGCCTGTAATCCCAGCACTTTGGGAGGCCGAGACGGGCGGATCACGAGGTCAGGAGATCGAGACCATCCTGGCTAGCACAGTGAAACCCCGTCTCTACTAAAAAATACAAAAAAATTAGCCCGGCGAGGTGGCGGGCGCCTGTAGTCCCAGCTACTCGGGAGGCTGAGGCAGGAGAATGGCGTGAACCTGGGAGGCGGAGCTTGCAGTGAGCTGAGATCCGGCCACTGTACTCCAGCCTGGGCGACAGAGCGAGACTCCGTCTCAGAAAAAAAAAAAAAAAAAAAAGAATAGTCCTTAAAAAAAAATAATAAAAATACTGTGGATCTGCCAATTCAGAAATCTGCAGCATTTGTGAATGAATGAATATTGGTATGTACAAAGGAAAGGTCTGGAAGGATACAGACATTTGGTGGGTGGTTACCTTTGATGGAAGGAAAGGTATTTAACTCTTTATTTCTTCTATATTGTTTGTGTATGTGTGTATATATAGTATAACTACGTACTTTTTGCAATTAAAAAAACACACAAACATACACAATGAGAAAGAGAGAGAGAGACCTACCCCCTCCAAGTGGTATTTAAGAAAAGAATCTTTCTAGAATGATGGATGCAGCTGTGTTCATAGTGGATGGTTGACTTAATGACCTCACTTGCCCCTGGCGTTCATCCCATGATTAATAGGCTGCCTCAAACTCCTCAGGCTCTGTGTTCCTTTATGAGCAGGGAGCTGGAAGAATCATTCAGAATAAAGTAAGTATTACAATTTCTGCAGAGGCAAACGAATTGCATAGTTGTGTTTGGAGATACAATTGCAACTCTTTTCCCATTTCTCAATAAGCTAATATGAAGACTCAGTTGTAGATGTCAGAAACCCAATCAAGAAATATTTCACCTTTTTTTTCAGAATTGCTTCAAGATATAAAGGAATGGCTGGCTTTTTTTTTTTATTAGAAAAAATACAAATAATACATGAGCATTGTAAAAATTCAAACAATACTCATGTGTATAAAATAAAAAGTGAAAGTTCTCCCTTCAAATTACACTCACCAGGGTAATAACTGCATATAATTTGACACTAGAATACCTGTAAATAAGTATTTACAGGTATTTCCATTCATTTTCAAATATTCATCATTAAACAAAATGGCATCAGGCTACAGATAAAAAAGCATTTTTATTTTCACTTAATTTATCTTGGGCCATGGAATATATAGGTATATTTAGATTTGTCTCATTCTTTTTATGGGTGAACAATATTCCACTGTGACTGTCCAATTTTTTTTTTTTTTTGAGACAGAGTTTTGCCCTTGTTGCCCAGGCTGGAGTGCAGTGGCGTGATCTCAGCTCACCGTAACCTCTGCCTCCTGGGTTCAAGCGATTCTCTTGCCTCAGCCTCCTGAGTACAGGTGCCTCCTTCACGCCCAGCTAATTTTTTGTGTTTAGTAGAGACCGGGTTTCACCATGTTGGTCAGGTTGGTCTCAGGTGATCCACCCACCTCGGCCTCCCAAAGTGGTGGGATTACAGGCATGAGCCACCACACCCAGCCCAACGTCTCCACTTTTAGACATGTAAGTTGGTCCTCTTTTGTGTTGTTTGTGTTGTAGTGCTGCAACACTATCCTTTTTTTTTTTTTTTTTTTTTGAGACGGAGTCTTGCTCTGTTGCCCAGGCTGGAGTGTAATGGTGTGATCTTGGTTCACTGCAACCTCTGCCTCCTGGGTTCAAGTGATTCTCCTGCCTCAGTCTCCCCAGTAGCTGGGATTACAGGCCCATACCACCACGCCCAACTAATTTTTGTATTTTTAGTAGAGACGGGGTTTCACCATGTCAGCCAGGCTGGTCTTGAACTCCTGACCTTGTGATCCGCCTGCCTTGGCCTCCCAAAGTGCTAGGATTACAGGCGTGAGCCACTGTGCCCGGCAACACTGAATATCTCTGTACACAAATATTAGGACAGTGTGTACAAACATGTCTTCTGGACATATTCAAAAGGTTATGCACACTTAATTTTAACAGATATTAAAATTGTTCTCTATAAAAAGGTTGTACAACTTAGAACCTTACCCCTAATTTATACTTTCTCATTGTTTCTTATTTCACATTTTCCTAATTACCATCTAGGTTGAGGATATTTTCATATTTATTGGCCATTCGTGTTGCTTCTTTTGTGAATTGTTTTTCTTAAGTCTTTGGTCTTGTTTTTTGAGACAGAGTCTCTCTCTGTTGCCCAGGCTGGAGTGCAGTGCCGCAATCTTGGCTTACTGCAACCTCCGCCTCCTGGGTTCAAGCAATTCTCCTGCCTCAGCCTCCCGAGTAGTACAGGCGCCTGCCACCACACCCAGCTAATTTTTTGTATTTTTAGTAGAGATGGGGTTTCACCATATTGGCCAGGCTGGTCTCGAACTCCCGACCTCTTGATCTGCCCGCCTCGGCCTCCCAAAGTGCTGGGACTACAGGCGTGAACCCCCGCGGCCTGCCGGGTCTTTTAAAAATGATATTGCTCCCCCCGCCCCCCTCCCATTGGTTTGTAGGAATATCTTCTAAGTTATAGATATTAACTTTTTCCTTTTTTCTGTCTATAAGGTCCAAAATAGTAACTATTTCTACAATTGAAACATCCTCAACTTACATTTATTGTGGAGCATGAGAATGACTTTCACCACATAGAGACTTGTAATCTTATGTAGTCAAATCTGTCACGTCTTTTCTTATACTGCTTCTGGGTTCCCTGTCACACTTAGAAACACATCTCTTCCAAAAATTACAAAAAAATTTTTTACTTTTTCTTCCATGTTTATATCTTTTTTTTTTTCTTTTTTTGAGACGGAGTTTTGCTTTTGTTGCCCAGGCTGGAGTGCAATGGCACGATCTCGGCTCACGGCAACCTCTGCCTCCCGGGTTCAAGTGATTCTCCTGCCTCAGCCTCCAGAGTAGCTGGGATTACAGGCGCCCGCCACCACGCCCCGCTAATTTTGTATTTTTAGTAGAGACGGAGGTTTCTCCATGTTGGTCAGGCTGGTCTCGAACTCCCGAGCTCAGGTGATCCGCCCGCCTTGGCTCCCCAAAGTGCTGGGATTACAGGCGTGAGCCACTGCGCCCAGCCGATTCTTACATCTTTAATCCAACCATATATTATTTTTGTGAAGGATGGAGGTAAGTCTCCCCTCAAGTTAATTTTTCTCCAATCTGGCTTGCAGGAAAGGGGTTTCTGGGGAGATTTTACTGAGCAACGTAGGGAAACGGCTGCCTGGCGACCTACCCCTTTTTGACACCCACACGTGCTCGGCACCTTACATACACTGCGTGATTTTATCCTAAAGCGAGTTTTAAAATCCCAGTGCGTAGACAGAGAAACTGGGCGTCACATAACGTAAGTGACCTGCACAGTCGGCGTCGGAGGAGACAAGCGCCGAGCTCAAGGAACCCGGCACCGCGCCCGCTTTCCAACCTCTCGCGACAGTTGTACGTCATTCGAGAGCGCCGTGGAAGTCGCGCAGCCGGCGTCGCGCCAATCTTCGCTAGTAGGTGCTGTCTCACCGGTGAGACCTGGAAGCCGGCGAGTCTCGCGCTTTGTCGGACCTGCAGCCCCTGGCCTCCCGCCACCATGGAGTACCTAATCGGTATCCAAGGCCCCGACTATGTCCTTGTCGCCTCCGACCGGGTGGCCGCCAGCAATATTGTCCAGATGAAGGACGGTGAGAGGAAGCAGGGGAGGCCCGGCCAGGCCTGGGGTGTCGGGGCGACCAGAGGGAGTTTGTCGGGGGTTGAATGTGTGCCAGGGAGGATCGAAGAGGTGGAAGCCGGCCTGCCCTGCCCATACTTACTTAATTAATTACTTTATTTTTTTCGAGATGGAGTTTCGCTCTTACTGCCCAGGCTCTAGTGCAATGGCACTATCTCGGCTCACCACAACCTCAGTCTCCCGGGTTCAAGCGATTCTCGTGCCGCAGCCTCCCGAGTAGCTGGTATTATAGGCATGCGCCACCACACCCGGCTAATTTTTGTATTATTAGTAGAGATGGGGGGGTTTCTCTGTATTGGTCAGGCTGCTCTCGAACTCCCGACCTCAGGTGATCCCGCCGTCTCGGCCTCCCAAAGTGCTGGGATAACAGGCGTGAGCCGCTGTGCTCGGCCTTTTTTTTTTTTTTTTTTTTTTTTTAAATAACGGAAGCAACAGGCAGACAAGTCTGGGGCCTTGGCATTTGCTCCTCCCGGGCTCCTAGGTCAGTGCTCTGCTCTGGCCTTCGCTAAATGCTTCTTGCTTGGTGAGAGTTGCCTAAAGGGAATCTGTTTATAAATGTTTAAGCGCCTGCCCAGAACCTGGCTCTCTAGATCCCCGAATCTCTTATAAAAGTTTCCTGTTGTCGCTAGTAATGAGGTTTGTTGGCGACATAAGGTGGGATCCTGGGGACAGTCAGACTGTGATACCAGAAGCTTGTCATTTTCTTTCCGCTGCCCGTATCTCCCGGTGGCTCCCGATTCTTCTTTTTCAGCTTTCCAGGACAATGGCTGCCAGGTTTTCCTTATATTTAAGTAGTTAATGGAGTTAGGAGATTGGAGCCCTGTCATTTATTTGCCTTATGACTTTGATTAAGTTATTTCGCAGTGCCCAGATTTCCTCATCTTTAAGATTAGCAATACCAAACTCACAGACTTGTCGGGAGGATTGAGTAAATGAGTTATGCGCAAATCCTTCGCACTAGACAGGTACTTAATACTAAGCATACACAGGTGCCCAAACATTTGTCAAATGAACATTAAGTCATCTGAACCAGAGCTTAATACTTTTTCAACAGTAGCACGTCTTTGATCAATTAAGGAAAACAAACTTAGATTCTGCAGGAAAAACAACCAAAATCTTCTTAAAATTATGTATTGAGTAATTTACTGTAGAGAGACGGTATAGTACAGTAGTTAGGGGCAAAATATCTGGACTCACTGCATAGGTTGAACCCAGGTTCTGCCTCATGTGACCTGAAGTAAGTTTCTCCAACTCCGTGCCCTAAAGCTAGCATCTATAAGGTGGTGATGTAATAGCACCTATCTTAAAAGGTTAATGAATTGATGGAAATCGCTTAACACAGCACCTGATACTTTATGAAATTCTATGATTAGTTTGTAGAAGTTTTGTTTGTAAGCTAGTCCTCCCAAAGGAGTGAATTTGTTTTGAGAGTAAATTTGTCCATTATTTTGAATTCTGAGGTCTTTGACAAGCAAGTGATTTTAGCATTAAGTCATGTCTAGGTAGAACAATAATCATTACCTTTACAGGTCTTTTGTTTCATCCCAAAAATGTATGTGAAATCACATTGAAAAGAAGAACGTGCTTTAAGCCTACTTATGTACACAGTACTTTTAGTCATTATAGGGGATGCAGTATATTACTTATAACCCATAGAAGAGTCCAAGACATTAAGAAAACAAGGAAATAAATACTGCAAGATGATTTTATGTGGTAAAAGAAGTATTACTAGTTAGTATTAGGTTGGTTTTTAAATTAATGAGTTCAAGAGCAAATCCTAAGTAATAAAAGAATGATCACTATGGTATGGGAGAAAGACGAATTTGAGTTAGTTCTTGAAAAATAGTTGGAAATCATTGCACTCCACACATTCTGATTTTCCCTATGGTCTTTCCTGGTATAAAAACATTTATAATATAAATTTTAGTATTGTATGATGACTTTATTTATTTTTGAGATGGAAGCTCGCTCTGTCACCCAGGCTGGAGTGCAATGGCGTGATCTTGGCTCACTGTGACCTCAGCCTCCTGGGTTCAAGCTATTCTCCTGCCTCAGCTTCCCCAGCAGCTGGGACTACAGGCACCCGCCACCACACTCGGCTAATTTTTTTGTCTTTTTTAGTAGAGACGGGGTTTCACCGGGTTAGCCAGGCTGGTCTCAAACTCCTGACCTCAGGTGATCCACCTGCCTTGACTTCCCAAAGTGCTGAGATTACAGGCATGAGCCACTGTGCCCGGCCGTATGATGACTTTTTTCTAATCATTCATTTAATGATGGAGCTTGTTTAGAGTAGGCAAGAATGCTGCAAAATAATAACCTTCTGGGACTCCTTTCTCCAAGTTTAAATGATAATACAACTTCTAATCAATTGTCCAGTATATCACTTTGTATAAACATTTTGATACTATAGAGTAGACATTTGCTGAGGACTGCCACCTTATTAAGCGGTAACAACTTGTGGTTTGCTTATGTGCTGCATTTCATGTCTCTTCTCTTGGCCTATGTAGAATTGCTTTTAAGTTACTCGGAGTACTCCAGCCCACACAGAATTCTCTCTTTTCTGAATTCCTATAGCATATATGATCTGAGCTACATTATCTAACACTGAGTATCATAATATTGGACATGTATAGAATTCATTAATTTTTCTCACTTGTGAGTTAGACAGGGGTAAGTGATGTTATTAACATTTCGAACATCTGGAAACTGGGGCTTAGAGAGGACAAGTAATTTGCTGAAGTTCAGAGTGCCAAGTCCACGTCATAACCAAGGTCTCTTGGATTCTAGTCCAGTTGGTTTTCCACAGTATGACATGCTAATGTTGTTCATTTTGTTGTCCATTTGTTTCATGTATGTGGATCTTGTAAGTTCCTTGTCAAGAATCAGAAATTCCCCAGAGCTACACAGGCAGTTTCCTGTACAACTCAGGGGTCTCTTAGTATCTATCTCTTGTGTTTTTATTAAATATGTTGCCTTCTGCGACTCATTGGTCATAGTGTTTAAAAAACATTTTTGGCCTTGTATTAAGCTAATTTTAAAATGGAACAGGTTACTGCCTAGATTTTTAGCCTTTCTTCTAAGTGTGACATAAGTTCTTTGTGAACAAGCTCCCCCCTCAAATAAAAATAGCTTTTTTCTTATTTTAATGATATTGCCAACTTATTGAATAATGTTTTCTTATAAAAGTGAGGCATATTAAGTATAGAAGTTTTAGGAAATACCGATAAGCAAAAAGAAGGGAACAAAAACTGCCCATACTCTTACCACTGGCAAGCACTTAGCATATACCCTTCTGCTCCTTTTTTTTTGCATAGATAATATAAGCGAACGTTTTTCTCTTACTAATATTGCAAACTAACAGTCTTTAATGTAACCTGTACAACAAATAAAAGTGTGTTTGTTCAGGAGTTTTGAGGCAATTTGGTGCTATCTACAGGTGCATTTTGTGTGTTTTTTCCCTCCAAGTCTAAGAAGCCATATTACTGGTATCTACAACTCTGAAACACTTGTAAAGTATTTGACAGTAGCATTTTGTTCTTTAAATCCTATTAAAGGATTTTGACATTTCAGAAGCTTTCAAACAGGAAACATGTCTCCCAGGGAAGATTATTCAGCACTATTTGAAAAATGAAAAGTGAAAGTGAGAGTGAGATAGGAAGATTTAGGCCTTTTCTGAAGCTGCAGACTGAATGTGGAGTTTTCTACCTTAGGCAATAACTGTAACCTGAATATTTATCTATCTAATCTGAATGAGTCTGGTTCAGCTAGATAAGATTAGAGTATTAGGATTTTTGTGAGGTATTTTAAGTAGCTTACTGTCAAAATATTCACTAGAATTTTTGCTTTGGCAATCGTTTTAATTTTCTCTTTTTCTTTGGCAATGGAATTTGTTTACTTTTTAAAGTGATTAATATTCTCAGTTGATTTTCTATTCTTTCTTGAGATGGTTCCTTAATTTTAATTGTAGCATCAGTCCCTTTCATATATACTTTTGTGTGTGTATAAATATAATAACTAACATTTGTAGTTGTGGAAACATTTTAGGGCTTTGTTATCATGAGCCTAAAGATAATAGCCATTGGCTGGATTCCTTCAGTTTTTTCTGTTCTGTTCCTTGCATTTCAAATGCTTTTCAATGCTTTAACTTGTATTTTTAATTGGTAGCTTTCATGTATATTCTTCAACTGAAATTGACACTACACAATATGCTGATGGTTTAACATGAAGAATGAAAGAGATAAATTGATACCATTACCTATTAAAATCTTCTAAAAGCAATGATTAGTGAAATTATTCAATATACAGTCGTCCCTTGGTATCTGTAGGGATTGTTTCCAGAACCCCTGCAGATACCCAAATCTGTAGAAGCTTAAAGTTCCTTATATACATGGTATAGTATTTGCATATTACCTATGCAGATACTCCTGTGTACTTCAAATCATCTCTAGATTATTTATAATACTTAATATGACATAAATGCTATGTAAATAGTTGTTATACTGTATTGTTTAAGGAATAATGACCAGAAAAAAAGTCAGTACATGTTCAGGATAGATGCAAGCATCTATTTTTTTTTTTTTCTGAATACTTTTGATCCATAGGTGGTTGAATTGTGGATTCAGAATCCACGGATATGGAAGGCCAACTGTAGTAATTAATAAACCTGTTTATGGTTGCATAAATAATGACTGTCAATTTCTGTTAAGGCAGTTTCTAACAGTTTTTTTTTTTTTTGAGCAGATCATGACAAGATGTTTAAGATGAGTGAAAAGATATTACTGCTGTGTGTGGGAGAGGCTGGAGACACTGTACAGTTTGCAGAATATATTCAGAAAAACGTGCAACTTTATAAGATGCGAAATGGTGGGTAAGACTTACGAGTTTTGGTTGGCATATTACTAGTTTACTAGGGCTGCCATTACAAAAGTCACAGACTGGGTGGCTTAAACAACAGAAATGTGTTTCTCACAGTTGTGGACGTTAGAAGTCAAAGATTAAGGTGTTGGCAGGGTTGATTTCTGAGGCCTGTCTCCTTGGCTTGCAGGTGGCCATCTTCTCCCTGTGTCTTCACATGATTTTTCCCTCTGTACTATGTCCAGATTTCCTCTTCTAAGAATACCAGTCATATTGGATTAGGAACTCATTTTAATTTAATAACCTCTTAAGGATCCCTTCTCCAAATACAGTTATATTCTAAAGTACTAGGGATTAAGACTTCAACATATGAATTTCTGGAGGACAAAATTCAGCCTATCACAATTGGTTTGTCTTTAAATTTGAACTGAAAAATAATATTCTTTAAGACTTATGTGGTCATATTTTCATTTCTGTGTTTAAGAAGTTGTCCAGACCCTAAAGATTCTAATCCGTCATAAAAGATTTTCTACAAAAATCCTAGAGCAGAGAACTATTGTAACACTAATAGTTGGCAGTTATAACACCATCGGGCTGACGTGATGACTCACACCTGCAATCCCAGCAACTGGGGAGGCCAAGGTGGGAGGATCACTTGAGACCAGGAGTTTAAGACTAGCCTGAGCAATGTAGTGACACCTCATCTCTACAAAAAAAAAAAAATTTTTTTTTTTTTGAGATGGAGTTTTGCTCTTATTGTCCAGGCTGGAGTGCGATGGCGCAATCTCAGCTCACTGCAACGTCTGCCTTCCAGGTTCAAGTAATCCTCCTGCCTCAGCCTCCCAAGTAGCTGGGATTACAGGCATGCACCACCACACCTGGCTAATTTTGTATTTTTAGTAGAGACAGGGTTTCTCCATGTTGGTCAGGCTGGTCTCAAACTCCCAACCTCAGGTGATCCACCCACCTCGGCCTCCCCAAGTTCTGGGATTACAGGTGTGAGCCACCACGCCCAGCCTGCCACAAAAAAATTTTTAGAAATTAGCTGAGTGTGGTGGCATGCATCTGTAGTCCTAGCTACTCAGGAGGCTGAGGCAGGAAGATCGTTTGAGCCCACGAGGTCGAGGCTGCAGTGAGCTATGATTTTGCCACTGTACTCTGGGAGGCAGGAAGACTCTGTCTCTCAAAAAAAATTTTTTAAACCAATCAAAAAAAAAAACTAACACCCTCTTGGAGGTAGGGATGGTAGTATCAGACTTTTTAAGTGTTAGATATTTCAGAGGATGTGGTTTGAGTTTAAAAGTATCTGAATCCGGCCAGGCACAGTGGCTAACAGCTGTAATCCCAGCACTTTGAGAGGCTGATACGGGAGGATCACTTGAGGTCAGGAGTTTGAGACCAGCCTAGGCAACAAAGCAATACTCTGGCTCTATAAAAAATAAAAAAACTAGCTGGGTGCAGTGGTGCATCCCCATAGTCTCAGCTACTCAGGAAGCCGAAGTGGGAGGATCGCTTGAGCCCAGGAGTTCAAGGTCACAGTGAGCCATGATAGTGCCACTGCACTCCAGCCTGTGTGACAGAGTGAGACCCTGTCTCAAAACAAGCGAACAAAACAATCTGAATCTCAGCATTAAAAAACCTAAGTAAACCTTGGCTTTACTATTTTTTATGTGATAAGTCATTTATTTTCTCTGGGCCTTTATTTTCCTTATCTCTGAAATGAATTATAATACTAATGAATAATACATATGTAAATGTTCTGTAAACTTAAAGTATTGTGTAACTAACTGTAAGTATTTACTGTGTCTCCAAAGGGTTCTACCTTACTCTCTGGTAGGTTTCCTTCTAGAGAGATAATTAGGACTTTTGTGAAGTATTTTGTGAGCTCTCTCTGGGGCTAATGAACTGTTATCCACTGGGAAAGCCTCCCTAGCAAACAATCCTAGCCACTAGGCCTCTGATCCAGGAACGTTTGTAGTGGTGGTCTGGCAGAGAAAACCTTGTTCAACTTACTTCACAGTTCAATAACAATGTTATACACTGCACTGGTATAATATGGAGCTTTGAAGGAACTTAATTTGAATATACTTGCATGTGTAAAATGACCAAAGATCTATTCACATGGTTTTTTGGGCAGTGGATTTATCATTTGTATTCAATTCCATAAATATTTTTGAGGGCCTCTTCTATGGTAAACATTCTGCTTAATACTTCAGAGAATTCAAAGATGAATAAGGCTTAGTCCCGACATTCAGGAACATAAAGCACATGGTACTTACGTTTACTCAGGTTTAGAATATTTCAAGAATTCTGCTTTTTTTCCCCAGTGGTTCCACTTTTTGCCTGCATAACAAATGAGGCATGTCAGTAATGCTTCTGAAGTCCATTAGGTACTGTATTACTTCACTGGCTGTCCTGAGAGAGGAAGAGGAGTGAACAAGAGGAGCAAGAGTTGTTTGTTACTTGGGTTTTAGGGTCTAAAGTCAGTGCACAGAACAAAAACTGTATTTGGTTAAAATTGCCAAGTACAGTTTTGTGTATGTAACTGTATAGAGATTCTTATATAAGTTAAAGAACTGAACTAAAATAAGGGAAAGAAAGAGAAAATCTCTATGCAGATAATCAGGCTTGACTTTTCTGCCTTTAGGATAATGGTTAGATCGTTAGAGATGTTTAAGGGGTTAGGTAAAGAATTGAATAGTATTCCCACTTGTCCAGGTTCCTTCTTTGTTTTTTTTTTTTTTTCTTTTTTGAGTCAGGGTCTCGTTCTATTGCTCAGATTGGAGTGCAGTGGCGCAGTCTCAGCCCACTGCAATTTCCAACTCCTGGGCTCAAGTGATTCTCGTGCCTCAGCCTCCTGAGTAGCTGGGATTACAGGCATGCACCACCATGCCTGGCTAATTTTTTGTATTTTAAGTAGAGACGGAGTTTCACTATGGTGGCCAGGCCGGTCTTAAACTCCTGTCCTCAAGTGATCCACCCACCTGGGCCTCCCAAAGTGCTCTGGGATTACAGGTGTGAGTCACTGTGCCTGGCCTCTTTTTTTTATCTTTTTTATTATTATTTTTGTTGTTGTTGTTGTTGTTGTTGAGACAGGGTCTCACTCCTATCGCCTAGGCTGGAGTGCAGTGGCACAATCATGGCTCATTGCAGCCTCGACTTCCCAGGCTCAGGTGATGCTTCTACCTCAGCCTCCCAACTACCTGGGAAAACAGGTGTGTACCACCACCCCTGGCTAATTTTTATATTTTTAGTAGAGACGAGGTTTCACCATGTTGCCCAGAATGGTCTTAAACTCCTGGGCTCAAGTGATCTGCCTGCCTCAGCTTCCCCAAGTGCTGTGATTACAGGCATAAGCCACTGCGCCTGGCCAAGGGTTGCTTTCATTATGATTTAATACGCACTAATAGACCTGTGAGGATAAAGTACAATAATACATGTGAAAACACTCAGCATGGACCCTGAAACATAGTTGCTGCTCAATAAATATTTGTTAGGATTTTAATCTGAATCTCTCCTAATTTGACAGTGGTATTTAAAATGTCGTAAGCAATTACTTAACCACACTGCTGTGTGTCTTTCCGTACTGACATTTTCTGTGTGGGCCCACTGAGTTATGGATCATTCTTGTGCCTTTTGGCACTGGTCCCATTCTACAGGGGGATTAAGCTCCAAAGTGAATGCATTATTACATGCACATCTGATGCTGTTCCTCTGGATTGTACCTTTGTTGGTATGACAACATTTATTTTTGAAGTTTTAACACTTGAGATACTCTGTTTTTAAAAATATTGCAGAATGATGGAAATGTTCTTTTCCTGTGGCTTGTACTTTTGAAAGTCATATTATACTTCTTAATAAAGTTACATTAAAATTCTTTTTTAATAAACTATGACTCAGAGGTAGTCCTAACTTCTAGCCTCTCTTTTCCCAATATCCTTTTTGTTCCTATTTTCATTTTTTTAGGGACAGGGTCTTGCTCTGTCACCCATGCTGGAGTGCAGTGGCACAATTATAACTCACTGCAGCATTGAACTCCTGGGCTCAATTGATCCTCCCCACTCAGCCTCCTGAGTAGCTGAGACTACAGGCAGACACCACCATGCCTAAAAATGAAAACAATTTTTTTTGAGATGGGGTCTCACTGTGTTGCCCAGGCTAGTCTCAAACTCCTGGGATCAAGCGATCCTCCTGCCTTGGCTTTCCGAAGCTCTAGGATTACAGGCATGAGCCACTGTGCCTGGCCCCCAGTATCCTTTTTAAAATAAACTTTTAAAAAATTGGCATCTAAGACATCTTTCTTTTTTTTCACTTCCTGTGTATTTGTGTCCCTTCTACAGTGGAAAACACAGTGTGTTGATGAATGAATCGTTTAAGAAAGACTGCTACAAGTTTCATTCCACTATAGAACTGGTTCTGTTTGTGGCCAAGAATTGCTGTCAGTACTAACCAGCTATTTCATAGCTGTTGCATGAGGAAAGGGACTAGAGTAGGATTGTACCCCTCAGTCTATATGCTTTGTTTACTCTGAGTGTACTTTGTTTACTCTGATGGTGGGCTTTAGGAAAAAGGGTAGTGAATAATTTGGGGCACTGTTATTCCTTCTGCTTTAAGTATGACTCTTTATCTCTTCTACCAGGATATGAATTGTCTCCCACAGCAGCAGCTAACTTCACACGTCGAAACCTGGCTGACTGTCTTCGGAGTCGGGTAAGTAATATATCAGACATTGTTAGATAAGAGCAGAAAAATCCTTTGTGCTTCTTTTACATTCTCGTTATATATGAATAGTATTTTTGCTCTTTTTTGGCCTTCCAGAACCCTTCCTGTTGCTACTTGTTCATTCTTCAGTTCAACGTCTTTGTACACAGTTGTTATTAATAGTTACAGCCCAAAGGGCAAATATTCATTCCCAGAGAATTGGTTGGGACACACCAATATGAAGGCCAGTGATAACCTAACCTTTTTTTTTTTTTCCCCTAAAACTGTTTTTTAGAGCAGTGTTAGGTTCACAGCAAAATTGAGAAGAAGTATAAAGATTTCCCACATTCCTCCTCACCCACATGTGTAGCATTCCCCATTATCAGCATCTTCCACCAGGGTGGTACACTGTCACAAAGGATGAGCCTACATTGACGGTAATCACCCAGGTCCATAGTTTACATTAGGGTTTACTCTTGCTGTTGTGCATATTATGAGTTTGGACAAATGTATAATGATAAGTATCTACCATTACAGGATACGGAGTATTTTTCACTGCCCTAAAAATCCTTTGTACTCTACTTATTCATCCTTCCCCATCCCTGCAACTCCTGACAACCACTCATCTTTTTACTTTCTCCATGGTTTTGCCTTTCCCATCATGTGATGTAGTTGGAATCATGGATTATGCAGCCTTTTCAGATTGGCTTCTTTTATTTGGTAATACACATTTAAGGTTCCCCTATGTCTTTTCATGGCTTGATAGCTCATTTCTTTTTAACACTGAAAAATACTTCATTGTCTAGATGTACTGCAGGTTATTTATCCATTCACCTGCTGAAGGACATCTTGGTTGCTTCCAAGTTTTGGCAATATGAGTAAAGCTACTGTACACATCCATGTGCAGGTTTTTGTTTGAACGTAAGTTTTTTTGCATAAATACCAAGGAGTGTGATTGCTGGATCATATAATAAGAGTACATTTAGTTTTTTCAAAGTATTTTTGTAGCAAACCATATTACTTAATAGCTGTGGCTGAAAGTCTCTATGTGTTAGTGAAAGCAGAACTTTGAAAATAATAATTCAGATGTTTTTTATTTTTATTTTTTTTGAGACGGAGTTTCACTCTGGTTGCCCAGGCTGGAGTGCAATGGCGCGATCTTGGCTCACCGCAACCTCTGCCTCCTGGGTTCAAGTGATTCTCCTGCCTCCATTTCCCGAGTAGCTGGGATTACAGGCATGCGCCACCACGCCCAGCTAATTTTGTATTTTTAGTAGAGAGGGGTTTCTCCATGTTGGTCAGGCTGGTCTCGAACTCCTAATCTCAGGTGATCTGCCCACCTTGGCCTCCCAAAGTGCTGGGATTATAGGTGTGAGCCACCGTGCCTGGCCAATAATGTGGATTTTTATCTTGAGATTATTTATCTGTGTTTCTCTTTTTTTCTTTTATTTCTTTCTTTCTTTTTTTTTTTTTTTTTTTGAGACAGGGTCTCACTCCAGTTGCCCAGGCTGGAGTGTAGTGGTGTGATCTCAGCTTACTGCAGCCTCAACTTCCCAGGCTCAGGTGTTTCTCCCACCTCAGCCTCCCAAGTAGCTGGGACTACAGGTGTGCACCACCACACCTGGCTAATGTTTTGTGTTTTTAATGGAGGCAGGATTTCACCATGTTGCCTAGGCTGGTCTTGAACTCCTTTACTCAAGCAGTCTGCTGGCCTTGGCCTTTTATAGTGCGGGGATTATAGGAATGAGCTGCTGTATCTGGCATACTTACCTGTGTTTTTCTATGACTTTTTCCCAAAGCATACAGCATTGTTCCTCCTTGCTTATTCTAGCCTTGTTGCCATTCTAGAGCTGTCTCAATTTCATCAACAGCATGTTAAAAGATGCAACACTAAGTTAGGGATTGAATGCATTAAAGATTGTGTTGGATGTGCTAGGAAAGTTCATATGGTTGCTAAAGGTGTGCGTTATTCCCTTCCCACAGGGACTAAATAAATAGAGCCTTAATATGTGACCTTACCCCCTGTGCCTGTTTACTCATCTATGAAATGGAGATAACTTCCTAACCCCACAGGACTGCCAGGAAAATGAATGCTTGTAAATAATAATATTTAACATTCATATGACTTTTGCCCAAAGCATTTTGCTTAATAATTTAATCTACTCACTATTCCACTGAGAAAGATAGTAGTAGTTAATTCTCTATCACTGAGATGAAGTGAAAGGCATAAAGTGGCAAAGGGACTAGCTCCAGGTCACACAGCAGGTCAGACAAAGCTAAAATAATGGCGCCATAATTATTTGACTATTCTGCCTTTAGTTCTTCAGTAGTATTTCTAGAACACTGGTGCTATTCATGTTTTTATTATGGTTTGAGTTTTCATCTGTACTTGCTTAAAATAACAAGTTACTTTTTTAAAAGTTACTTACTACAGATCTATAAAGCAGTTTATTTTCTAGTGCCTAATAATCTTGGACTGATAATTTCTCAATAAATAGTACCTCTCAGTGCTAGCTTTGACCAAGAGCTTGTACGATCTGAGGGATCATGAAGTTTGAAGAGAAACTAGAGACATGTGGGATTGAGAGGAGGCAAATTTACATACATGGTTTTGACCTGGATGAAAGATCAGTAGTCTTTTCTTAGAAAAATAATAATAATAATAATATTTATTTATTTATTTATTTTTCTCTTCCAAGAAAATCATTGTCACCAAGTGGTCTTTTCTTCACTCCTCCTTAAGAAAAGAAAATGGGTCAGATACTAGCTTTTCTGTCACCCAGAAGTTCCTGTGGTGTTCAGCATTCTATGGTTTGCCATGTACAGTGTTCCTCTGACTTATCAGGTAGAACTGGAATAAGAATTCCAGCTTTGGGCACAATAAATACTGTGTCATAAATATTGCAGACATTAAGTGAATTAAGCTCCTTTTTGGAATTGAGATAAGAATAGCGATGTGCTTCATGCAAATGCAGTGAATCCGGTTTAATCTTCTCCTAGCAGAAATGTTTGATGTCTTAACAAATATCCCTTGTAGACAGTGACATGGGGCTCTGGTAAATATTGACTGCTTCTGCCTGAGCTTCTCCATTAGGTCCAATCTCTGCTCCCCCATCTCCTTATCAAAGTAGATTCTTAGTTCTAAAATATGGATTTATATTTTAGTCATTTTATTCTGGGAAGAGAGATGATAATTTGTCAGTGTTCCTAATAAGTGCAAAGTCACCAAATTTGGTATATTTACGTGGTCACACCAGTTGGCAGATGTGACTCATTTTGGGTCAGCCAGTTACCATGTATAACTTTTGTGTCTGTAGCTCAAATTGTTTGATTTCTAATTTGCTCTGTGTATGTGTGGTTGTTTGGTTGGGTGGACTTTTACTACCTCCGAGTATATAATGAATCTTGCATAAACTGGTTCATTAAGATGTAGGCAATTTAGCATTATGGTTAAGAGCATAGTCTCTGGAATTGGACTACCTGGGTTTGAATATTTGCTTACTGATTTACTAGCTGGATGCCTTTGGACAAATTCTAAGCTTAATTTCCCTGCTTACCAACTTCAAAAAGTTATTATGAAGATTAAATGAGATAATAATGCAAAGCTCTTACTTAGCACATATATAACTGATTAATCACTTTTGTTTTGAGACAGGATCTCACTCTGTCGTCTAGGCTGGAGTGCAGTGGTATGATCACAGCTCACTGCAGCCCCTTGACCTTGCAGGCCCAGATGATCCTCCCACCTCAGCCTCCCTGGCAGCTGGGACTATAGGTGCATGCCACTATGCCTGGCTAATTTTTTGTAGAGATGGGGTTTCTCCATGTTGCCAGGCTGGTCCCGAACTCCTGGGCTCAAGCAGTCCTCCCACTTCGGCTTCCCAAAGTGCTGGGATTGCAGATATGAGCCACCATGCCCAGCCACTTTTGTTTTTATGCTGTGATTGCTGTTTGGTGAATAAGTTAGTTTTTCATGAGGTATAATTTGTTGTGCTTTTTTTTTTTTTTTTTTCTTGGAGATGGGTTCTCGCTCTGTCACCTAAGAGGTGGCACAATCACAGCTCACTGTAGCCTCAACCTTCTGGGCTCAAACACTATTCCCACTTCAGCCTCCCAAGTAGCTGGAACTACAGGCACAAAGCCACCATGCTGGTATTGATAGGGAAAATAGAAGTAAAATAACATTGTACATATATTATGTGCTAGGATTTTTCTAGATCTACACAGTCCAGTATGGTAACCAACTAGCCATATGGGGCTATTTAAATTTAAGTTAATTAAAAGTAAATAAAATTTAAAATTCAGTTTCTGGAGGAAAATCTCCTGGTGGACTTTACCTGAATGCTAAATCAACTTTTATTTCTTAAAAAAAAAATTCTGTTCCTCAGTCACAGCCAAATTTCAGGTACCCAGTAGCCACAGCTGCTGTATTGAACATCACAGATATGGAACATATCCATCACCACAGAAGTTCTCTTGGACAGTGCTATTCTAAATACTTACATATGTATCTATTATTAAGTGTCCTTATTATGACACCATAAGATGTGTGTTATCCCCATTTTACTTACGAGGATGTTAAGTATTTCTCTTATATATGTTTCCAGAGCATATATATAGTATGTTAAAGGGTAAGTTAAGATTCCATCTTCAAATATCAAACTATTTCATGCTATCTTCTTTATTAATTAGTGGACTAATGTACCAATATGTTTGTGCATTTAGGGGAACATGAAATGTTCAGTTTTGTTAAAATGTCAAAATTGCGCATAGTATTATATAGATAACTTATGAATATTTGTCCATTGTACGTTTTCAATAAGTGTTTGCTGAATAAGTGTCATGCAGCTAGGTCTACATATTCTGCTGAGAATGTTAATTATGCATTTATACACTGGAAGGAAATTCTTAATGAATGGAATACCGGAAGAAGTATTCTTAATAAATGGATGTTAATTCGTATAGGAATTAAAGGCATGAAATCATCAGAAGACGAAAAAAGACAGATG